AATTTCCCTTTTTTTTTGCCAATGTCGTTATGGGGTTGCCAATAAACCAACCACATCCCACCCGCTCCAACCCCCGCTCACATGTGCAAAAAGTAAGTAACGGAGAAAACAAAATACGAAGGAGGCGAGGGGAGAGCCAGGCGGAATCAGTGAGGAAGGAATACCCGGCAGCCACTCGCCGGACTCCATTTGATATTTGCCGAAGCACGACAATGAATAATAACTACACGGAATGCATATGGTAGCAAAAAATAAAAGGAGAAGCCGGGGATATCCCATGTCGGAAGGGTTGGACCCAGGAACTTGCTTTGCAATTTAAAGATTTGCTTTCTTTTTTTATATTTTTCTAAATATCTATTTCGTAGTGGATGGAGATGAGGAAAAAATTGAGTAATATAGGAACAAATTATAAAGGTAAATTGGATTCTTAAATAAATATCATAAATAATACAAATATAAACAGGTTTATAAATCTCTTTAAGAAAATATATAAACAAATTTAAGTCTCTGGTAAAATTCCTGCATCAATAAACTTTAAAAAACTCCCCATTAAAATCTATAAAAACTCTTTTATACATTCCCATGTCATCCTCAAAGCAATTACTTGAAGCGACCTGTACAAAAATTGCAATAAAACTTTGGCAAATATTTTATGGCAGAGACAAAGCTCGCCCGCCTAACCCGGCTCCACTCTGTGCCATTTCGTGTTGGTGTTTCTGTGTATTTATTTGCCATTTGCCAGAGACTTGTTTCATATTTATCAACGTCTGTGGCAAATAATTTTATTAACTTTGCGCAAAACTTCAGCGATGCACTAAAGGCGACCGGAGACCGGGGACCAGAGGGCGGAGGAAGGGGGGTCCGAGGCACAGACAGACTGTGAACTGTTCGCGAAAAGTTGCAGTAGGTACAGTTTCGTTACCTTTTCAGGGGCAGAGGAAGTCAGGGGTCAGACACTGGAGCAGGGACAACTTTGCAATACTGGCGCAGCACTATCTGGAGCGCATATTTTATTATTATCCTTTCGCACAAATAAATATACTTTTGCGCAAATTACAAAAGAGCGCAGCTAACTGGCGACTTTAAGTTGGAAAGGCAACTGTATCTATGACCGTGTCCCCGGCTCCCGCTCCTGTCCCCTTAGTCGTTTACTGGACTGTGCGACAAAAAACTTTCGTCCAGATCTAATCAAAAATTCACTTAAAAAGTTTGCACTGCCAGTACGAGGCTGAATGACTTCAAGTGCAACCTTCGGAGTCGCAGTGTTGCTGGCTAAGGCATTGTTGCAGCTCCTTTGTTGCACGCTGCCGAGGGCGGCCAAGAGGACTTCCTCGGCCGGCACTTAATGAAATCTTTCCTGGGCCTGGACCTCCTAGGGAAGGGGTTCAAGTAAGTAAAGGACACCAGCTGGTCGAGGGGAGGCTTTGGTTTAGGATCTTCAAGGCATATAATGTCTATAACTTCAACTAAGATGGCTCTGAAGATTTTCTTAATAAATAAATTTAACTAAGAAATATTTTAATTAATTTAATATTTAAAATTATACCTATAATAGTGTATATTTGTCAGCCAGCATTTCCTTTAATCGGCTTTGGGAAGTACTCCTCTTTTCAGCCTTGTTCATTTATTGTCCCATTAAAATACCCTCCCGATGGACGAGGGGACACTTAATACAGCTTAAGTCAAATCCCCAACCACAACAAGGACTCCACTTTGGGTGCAGTGAGTGGATTTCCTCAATGCAAATTGCTGCACAATCAACGACAATCGACAACAATGCAGCAGCTGGAAAATGATTTAAAATCCTTAAAACTCCGCTGCGCAGTGAGTGACACAAATGAAGTGTCAATTTTAATATCCCGAATGCTGCGAAAATAAACCAGCAAATTGAGCAGCCCGCCCTCGTCTCCTGGGCACAACAATGGTGCCACTCCCCCGTAACTCGGAGCACTCAACTCCCCAATTCAGCTTTCTTTTTGCCTGCACAAATTGCATAAAAAATGTTGCGCACACTCAAAAAATGTTCAAGTGCACTGCCAAAGTCGCCCCCGTCTGAAGGTGAAGGAGGCCGTCGTCGTCTGGCGCGATTCTCGCTCATTTTTGTACTTTTTGCTTGCCTTAAATTTGCACAAAATTGCAAATAACTTGCAATCAAGGTGCAAGGAGTGAAGGAAGCAACTGCGGAGTCACAACAAAATGGCGATACGCCTGAGTTCAGTTTCATTTCGCTGGGGCCGTCTGGGAATCAATTTAAGTTAACTCGAGTCTATTGTTTCAGCGCTGTTCTGCCCGCTTTAAGCTCTCCGAGGCCCGGATCCTTGCTCCGCCAGTGTCCCGAGCTTTTGTCGTCAGCCGAGGAATTTTTATGAGCTGCCTTGCCGGCGTCCTTCTGGCAGTTGGCTTTCCGTCGCGCCAACTTTAGACCCCCGACTGCCGCTTGTTAATATTTCACCTAGATTGATACTGCAAAAAATAGGAGTGGGGCCAGCGGGGCACTAGGAATCAGGATTCAGGGTTCGGGGGTCGCTATATCCCGCCAAGTGGCTTCGTCCCGGGCACAAAGCAGCTAGGAATTTCATTATATGCACCCCAAGCCAAAGGACAAAGACATGTTTTTAATAGTTTCGCATGTTTGTGCAGCCGGCTTTGTTTTCATTTTTTAGCTCCGCCCGGTTGGAGGCTCCTTTGCCGGCTTTCAGGTTCCGATTGTGTGTAGTTTGCGCAAAGTTTGGCCAGATTTTTGCGCTTACATTTTGAATAGTTGCATTTTTAAGCAGTTTCTGCTGCAGAGCAAAACTTGTGCGCCTGCCAGGGCTTAATCGTAATGAGTGAGGGATTGTGTGGGGGCTTTCGAAACTATTTGTGAAAAAATGGTAACAAAAAAGATACAAAGAGACTGATTAAATTACAAATTTCTACAGATTCAACTCGAACCCTTTTATCTTTCTCAGCTATTATCTCAAAATTCTATATCACAATACCATAACTTATGATGTTTATGTTATTGGTAAATCTAAAATATATTCTTAAGTGCAATTTAAATTCCACTCATAACTCTCCTAACCCTTCTTATTAGGCATTCCAACCAGCTTATCCTCAGAAATTTATAAAAAAAAGGAATCTTATTTATGAACACAATTCGAGGCGTAACTCAATCGAAATTGAAACCTTGTTGCACATCTATTAAGAGCAAATGTCAAAATTAATTGGAACACGTACGCTGACGCTGGCCGGGGCTCACTTGTTGGCTCCGTTTAACCCTTCTCGTTTCGATGTGCCACATTAACTTTCCTTTTCCTTTGGCTTTCTTTCGACTTGATTTTCCCTCCTAACCGCTGCCCTTTTTTGTGTAACAAGGCTAGGAAGGGCGGAGGAGCGTCTGGCGAGTTTGCGGATACTTTTGCAGAGTCATCGCATGATTACGTCGGTTTTGGGGCCGAGTAATCATCATGTGGTGCACATACACGCACTGCTCGGGTCTTTCCACCCCGGAATCCCAGATTCGCCCGGATCCCATTACATAAAGCCATCCGTTGGAGAAGCAAGGCCACAAGCAGGATCGGAGGCAGGAGCCGGACACAATTATCCGGCGAAAGGGCTTTCAATTTCACTTGGTTAGCTGCAAGTAAACAGCTTTGCAGCTCCTCGTTCCGTTCGATTTCGGTGGCGCTCAAGTCAAGCATGCAACCACCGCAGGCGGCACGCAAACGCATCGAATCAACGAAAGTGCCCCGAATCGACTGGTGGGGGTCCGCTCTAAGCCACCCTAGAGTCACGGACTCACGGACCTATGGACCCTCCTAGCCCCAGCTCATTTGACCACGGTTTGCACTTCATTGATTCGCTCAACAACTGAGGCAATTGAAAGAGAAATGGAACAGGCAAAGAAAAACTCTGCAAAATTCAAATTTGAGTTGAAATTAAAAACATGTTAACTGATATTCCTTTTCCATAAGGTTTTTCTTCAGGTCAACTATGTAACTATAGATCAAAATCATAATTTAAATGTGACTATAAATATTAACAACATTTAGTTAAGTTAAAAGTAAAGTAAAATTCTTTCCCCTTTAATTTATGCACACATTTTCTCTCAGTGAACCCGTAGAAAACAATGCTTCAAGCTCTACTTAAAGCATTTTTCATTCGCTATATTTTCCAGCCACTTGCATTGGGTTTATGAAAATGAAAATTGCCAAGAAAATCGAGCAACGAACAAATTCCTTGGTCCCGACTTCGGCCATATTTTGTGGTATTTTCCTTTGCAATTTCGGGCTTCGTAATTGCACTTGTATGAGCTTACTGGGGCATACGGCCTCAAAACAACGCTTTTCCCCTATATCCCAGTCAAGAACTGCATAGACTGGCTCCCTTGTGCATCACCCTTCATACGAGTTCGCTTGATTTAATCAGAATACAAAGAGAGGAGTCAATAGCAGCTAAGAGAGAATGGAAAACAAAGGCTTCAAACTAGGAATCGTAAACAGACAGAAATTATGAAAAAATAGCTTTTAAGGTTTTTTGGCCAGGATTTTTAAGGTTAGTTTTACTACACAATTAGCTTTGTTCGTTAAGAGTGCTTTTGTGTGTTTCATTGTTATTATGATATTTTCAAGATTTAAATTTCCCAAAAATTATAATTAAAAAAAAATAGCAATTATTTTAAAGGAAACTTGAAATCGGCATTTTTAAAGCATATGTCTCATAGCCTTAATAATATTAGTTGCAGTTAAAGTATTGTATTGATTTTACAAATATTTGACTAAGTCTAGGAATTCTCTCAATGAATACAAAGCTTTTCCTCTACAAATATGAATTTGCTTGATTTAATATAAATACAAATCGCTTATCAGCTCAAAGAGAGAGCTAGAAAACAGCAGCAACAGATTGGCAAACAAAGACCTCAAATTAGAAATCGAAAATATTGAAAACACTTGAATGTTTTTAATTACATTGAAGAAAATTTAATTAAAACTTAAAAGCTATAATTACTATGTACATTATTTTAATTTAACTGATAATATTTATTATATTTATAATTTGCTCTTTGTGGATTTTCCTTCCTAAACTACAAGATAAGAGAGCTCATCTGCGATTCGCTTTGAATAAAAACAATTGACATAAAGCCATCCACATGAAAAGCAAACATTGATAAGAGCGCGATGATTGTGTAGTGAACATTTTGGCTACTCATTATTATAATTGAAAAGCTAACTAAGAGATCGCTTGCGGAAGCTGAGGCACCACAGCGCTGCCATTAGACCCACTAGGACAGCCAGAGGAGCCTGGCCAGCGGATCCGTTGCACCCGTCCGGCGACTGCTCCTCCCACGCAATCTGGTCGGAAACGTTGTATGTGTTTGCCACATACTGGATGACGTCGCGCGCCCGCTGACTAATCTCCGGGACTCGGGAGAAGAGCTTGAAGAGCGGAATGGGCGAGATGCTGCTGAAGCCACATAGGAGCGCCACTGAACTGTAGTTCACGTAAACCATCTTGTATGTCACAGTGGCAATACCGTAGTCCAGATTGAAGCGTCCATGTTGGGTGTCATTGGTCCAGGGAAAGGTGACGGACTCGTTGGCGAACTGCCATTCGTTGTTGACCGTGCTGATGTAGTTCAGGCCCAGCGACAGGGTGTTGTTCTCGATCTCGGCAGGAACAGAGACATTTAGGCATGCCAGAACATCGACATTGGGCACTCGGGCAACCTCGAACCAGTAGCCAGAAAGCTGGAAAAGAAAGGGGGAAATGTAAGCTTGTAATCTATACAGATTCTTAAACTATTTTAAATTAATTCAAATTAATTATTAGTTGCAAATTCCTAAATTATAGTGAGTTTGATTTGATTTTCTTTTTTACACTTTATTAGCTACTTACTTCAGTCAGGTTGATGCTGAATCCGCCTATGTTTTCATTCTGACAGCTCCAGCCTTCCGGCACTCTGGGCATCATCCTGCTCAGCAAGCGACTCGCTCCAACCTCCAATTGGCTTCCGCAGCAGCAGAGGGCGAGCAACAACGTCCAGATAATTGGGTGGCCCTCCATTTCGATCCGTTCACATCGGCGAGCTTCAGACAACTAAACAAAGTCTCGGTCACACACAGACTTTTGATTCCCTAATGACAGGCTTATCAGTGGCGATGAATTGTTAATGAATATAATATAGTAAACAGGCAGGCATACACAATCGATACTTTATATGGGTGACTCACCACCGCTGATAAGGCTTACATTCTTATCGTATTATCTTATCGATATTTGCACGTGCAATGAGTATCCTTTTTTCTTTGAACACTTGAAAATAGCTGGAATTTTGTACGCCCAAAGTTTCGTTTAATTAGTTTTAGGACTGGATGGAATAGAGTATCCTCGAGAAGCTTGCAAAAAGTTTATCTAGATAATTTTGTAAAATTTTTTGCGAGTGGGGAAACTGTGTCAATTGTAGAAATTATCTACGAGATATCTTATACCGTGCTGAGGCTGTAAGGCTTTATCTCACTCAGATATGCCAAATAGATAGGAATATTCGGCAAGAATGTTCATTTGAGACTCGCAACAATATGTACCTATATAGTGAGAGCAAAAGAAATAAGTATGGAACTGTTTAAAAGTTGTTTCCAAAATATGAAACGCACCAATCAAATCCGATGAAGCCAAAATCGCCTCGAAGTCAAAAGTTTGGTGAAGTACGAGTAGTAGAGTTGCTTGTAAAAATCGCATGAAATTCGATTGTCGCTTAAAGTGAAATTGCACAATGTTTGCAATGAAATGTTGTCGCAGTAAAATATCGCTGCAGTCTCCTCCTTTCCTTTCCCGGCTGCAGTTGCACTTCCTTCGCCCCAGCAGCTCGTCCAGCTTTTCAGATTCAGGCGCTGCTGAAATGACGAAGATAAAAACGCAATCAAACAACAAAAAAGACAAAAATTGCAACGGCATCTGTTTGTATTGGTGCCATTGTGTGTGCCATCCAGTGTGTGTGTGTGAGTAAATGCACTCGAGCACGCACATCCAAGGGATTCCAAGCTGTTGCCCAATTCCGAAGCTGCCAATACCCTCGGAACAGCATTTATTAAATAATTTTCTCCAAAGAAAATTAAACAGAACTTTACTAGTACTAGCTGATACCTTCAACATATATGGGTATATCCTGATAAGATAGAGAAACAGGTGTACATTGGGCAGACACCACTTTCCTCGAATCCTTTGCTCCAATCAGTTATGATCTTTCTAATCGTAATCACAAGCTGATAACCTTTATAAGCCATAAGGCAGGTGTGACTCATTGAAATACATAGCCTGACAAAGGTGTTAGAAGTCAAGGTGTTTACCTGATAAAATAGTTTAGCACCCGTCCGCGTATACTGTACTTAATTTATGAGCTTGGCTATCGGAAGTTAAAACAATTTCAGGTTATTGATGCTTATAAGCAGTTAACAGGTAAATGAAAGCATACATACATAGTTATTAGTATTCCTTTAAATTATGATTATTTGACATAAACATCTAACAGTACTTTTATTAGCATCATAAAAATATAGATTGCATTTCTGATTAGATATTGATGTTTCCCTAAGATAAATACGGTTTGATAGCAGGAAGCTTTAGATAACCGACCCTTCCTTTACACCTACTATATGGTTCCGACCCTACAAGTGTCAAAGATAACCCAAAGTTCCGTCGATAATTTTCCGAAACGCGTACTCCCGTTAGTTTACAGGGCACTTGCAAATGGATAACTGTGCATCGACATCGATTGTCGCTGCAGCGCTGCAAACTTAACTGTGTTAAAGAGTTGTCATTGTGCTGTTTGCAGAGTTGTCGCTCGTGCGATGGATCTCGTGTGTGCACTGTGTGTGCGCTGGCTTTTGTAACAGTAAAGATATTGCAACTGCAACGTGTTGAAGTGGCGCCTCGGCAAAATTGTGTCAAACTGTGATTGCGTTTTTGTGACTGACATTCGATTGCTGTGGCTGTTTGGTTTTGGCAACTCTCACTAACTCTCAGTATCCTCGCCGCCTCCTGTGTGGGTCGGTTCAAGGACTATTGCCTGTCAGGCTCAGGCGGATGTTAACAAATCCCCCGAGTGTTATTTCCTTGTTTGGCTGAGATCACTAGAGCTATGTATACTCATGAAATAGAGTCTCATACATCCCAGTTAATTATCGAGTATCGGGGGTACAAGGCAGCTAATCCCAGTGACAATCCGGCCACCCCAGATTGGCCGGGATTCCCCCATAAAGACCCAAGAGTCGCGCAATTAACTGAGCGACTTTTTAAATCCCCCCAATGATGGAAGCAAACCCCTTTTGAGCGACCGGAAAAAACAAGGAGCGGCCACCCACCCTGATCCTCCGGTGCACCTTGCCCTGGGCCGGATACTTGGGCTATGATTATTACTTATGATAATTCAACTTGACGGCGCAAAAAGAACTTGACACCACCGCCCGAAAGACAGAAAATGCCGCCAGGACAACCGAATCCAAGGGCTGGCGAGGTTGGAGTCAAGAAAAACAACCCTCGAGGGGTGAAAATGTGGGCAAGTGGGTTTTATGTTCCGGCGACTGCAATCGAGTCTTCCGCTCCTTTGGCGGCAGCGATTCCCAGGGCGACCATGAAGAACTCCAACTAAAACGAAACTGTTGCGTATTTTGCATTTGGTCCCGGGTTCGTATCCCGTCTCCGTCCCCAGCCCCGTCGTTTATTGTTTTCCATTCTCAGCCGCTGTCTTTCTGCGTTTTCAGGGGTGCGAGTGCGTCGCATTTGCACCTTCAATTAATATACTGGCAGTCTGGGCCGACTTCCAACCCCCGGTCCTCCTCCGGCCCTTGCTCTTTTTGTGATTTATGAGGGTGCGATGGCAAAACAAAATTAAGCCAGCGGACGAACGACACTCGGCGTCAGCATCTTGGCCAGGGGTTTCCTAGCCCCCGGAAACCTCTCCACCGCACTGGCGCTGCCGCAGAGGTTTGAACTTTTAATTAAAAGTCACTTTTGATTTATAATTTGCGAGCGTTTTCGAGCTTTGCATAAACAAAGGGCCAGTGCTTGTCCAAAGTTGACAGCTATCAATGCGAAGGTGTGTGTCTTAACAGGGTTGTCAGCAGTCTGAGTTGGTAATAGATATGATTGGTGGAATTTTGAATTCTCCAACGTATTAGTTTGTTCAAATTCAAAGGTTTTCCTTATTTTTTATTACAATTTAAAGGAACTCATCCTCTTTTGCTTATTTTATTATAAATCACAAATCCTAGTTGATGATCCAACAATCAGATTAGAAGCTAATATCAAAGGTATTCAGTAAATCAGGCTCTTCCTTTTGTAAGCGGTACCAACAATGAAGCTTCCCAATTGCCATTGCCAGCAAATAAAAAACCGGAAAACTTCTGGCCGCAATAAATGCGTAAAAAAGGGAATCCACCACGCATATTGGTAACCCTGACAATCAACCGTTTGTTGCCATATTGTCGCAGGACACGTGACGCCCACAAGGATATATAGAAGGCAGCGAGGGGTGCAGCCTAGTGACGCGTGTCCCGTGCATAATCGGGATTTGCATGCATCAACTGAAACGGCAACCGTATTATGGCCCAAGGAAATTCATCATCAAAAGGAGTTGTACAAGCCAGACCTGTCTGCTGGATTTCTAGATCTTCTGCAAAAAATATTCAGAAAAAAATTTCATTTAGTTATATAAATGCATTCCCTATAAGCCTACATATTATAGATAGCTATCAAGTAAATAGGAAATCGAGTAACCAATATATTCAATCATAGGTATTTTTCTTAAAAGAAGACTAGTAATTCAATCTACGGAATAGGTATCCGATTTTTGTGTCTGTGTATTCAGACTCGAAAAATCTTCAGTAACCCAGATCAACCACCATTCTGAAGGATGCGCTGCAGGTCCTTTGATGCGTGAACTGTTTGTGGCAAACAAAGTGAAGCCTCGGGTGAGACGGACAACTCATCCTCGGCCAGCGGATGGCAACGAACCTTGACAACCGAAAGTTGCATGCGCTGCACATTGCCCTCAACCTTAATCAAACCCAGACTCAGACCCAGACCCAACCCCAGACCCAGGCCCTTCCCGAAACGAAAGCCGAGCGCGTGTCCTTCTAATAAGCCTAATGCATGGGAAAGTGGATGGAGGCGGAGGTCACACCAGAGAGCTGACAATATTGGTAATATTTTAAAGTGGACACGAGCACACGACCCAGACGGCGTTTGTTGTCATAAAGAGACCTTTAATTAAATTCATATTTGGAAGCACAACATTGCTGATTTATGGTGGATGTCACGGACAGAGGCAGGGCGCGTGTTCTCGGCCATTGGAAAACAATCATGGGAGTCATAATTGTTTATATTGCCTTGCATTAATCTAATTGGATTGCCATGGGAGCTTGGAGTTGGCCAGCAAACAAAATAGTCCTCCATCCTTTCACATATTTCACTTTAGAAAAAATATTGAGTATAGAACTTACAATGCCCAAAGTGTCTTTAAAATCTCCTGATTTCGTGTGGACCTCCCACGCGTAGCTCATGGTAATATAATTTACAGTCTGCACTTAGATTCGCCTGAGAAGCCCACCCAGTAATCCGCACCTGATTCGCTCCCAAGTCATATCCATTGCGGGAGCTTTTCGGCTGGCTATCCTTGTGCCAAACTGAAAACATCTCCGCCATGTGTTGTTCATATTTGCATAAGCGTCAGCCTCTAGCATATTGCGTCCTTCGTTTGATGGCTGCCCTGTGGACCCTGGAGCTTACACAGCTTCTTTCAGAGATGGTGCATCATGGTCATCATTACTCAACTTCTGGGCGCTGAGTAAATACTCGCAGCGGGCACTTTACGACCTGACCCCGGCTGATGGGCGTGGCCGGGCATAAGGTAATGCACAGAGCTTGTCCGAAGATGGAGATGGCCGTAAACAGCAACTGCTGGTCCTGCTACTGCTCATGCTGCCGCCGTACGGGAAACGTGCCCAGCATATTGAAATTGCTCACCAAAAATCCAGCCAACTGCAGCTGGGCGGGGCTGTGCTGAAATTTGAAAAATGGTCAGAAGTTGTTTCCTGTTTTTACCTGGCTGACGGGCCC